ATTCTTTACCTCATATATGGTGCATGCACGTGCACATCTGAGGGGAGGTGGGGGCAGAGCACAGAATCAATGAAAAGCGGGTGAAAAAATACAGCAGAGGGGCCCATCAGCTATACTGGACATTGATGGAAGTGAACTGAGCAACTCAAGGGTGGTAATGAGAGGGAGAGAATGAGAGAGAAAGAGGGAACAGCTGACACTAAGCAAAAGGAAAGAAACGTACATATCACCTTATTTGTAAAAAATATATATTATTGCTACAGGTCATAGAGTTCATAAGCAATGTAGATTAAGATAATGACGACTATCGTTGTGAAGATTAAAAGGTGTTTATGACTTAAAAATAAATATCTATAAAAAAGCTTTATTTACTTTGTTATTTATTTTATGCCAGTTCTAGGGTTTGAACTCAGGGTCCAGGCACTGTCCTCGAGCTTTTTTTTGCTCAAGGTTAGTACTCTTAACACTTGAGCCACAGCTCTACTTCCAGCTTTTTGGTAGCTTATTGGAGTTAAGTGTCTCATGGGAGTTTCCTGCCCAGGTTGGCTTCAAATCATGATCCTCAGATCTCAGCCTCCTGAGTAGTTAGGATTACAAGTGTAAGCTGCCAACCCCGCTGCAGCTTTATTTGTTTTTGATTGACAATAACTGTACATCTTTATGGGATACAGTATGATAGATCAGTGTGTGTACACATTATGCCCTGATCAAATCAGGATAATAAACATATTCATCACTTTGTTAATCATTTCCCTTTAGTGAAAACATTAAAATCTTACCTGTTGGCTAATTTTGAAATATATCCTACATTATTAACTATGTTACCCTACTATGCAATAGATTAACCTCAGAATTTACCATTAATATCTAAGTATAGCATTGCACCTGTTAACCTCCCTCATCCTATCCTCTCTAACCTCTTATAATTATTTTAGTATCAACTTGTAGATTCTATGCTGTTCTGTATGAACTATTGCACTTAGGTTCATTAATATAGTTGCAAAATGATAGAATTTCCTGTTCTTTTAAGGTTGAATAGGTTCATTCATATTGTTGCAAATAACAGAATGTTCTTTATGTGGTTGTTTTTTTTTTTTTTTTTTTTCTGGTCCTTGGGCTTGAACTGTGAGCCTGAGCACTGTCCCGGAACTTCTTTTGTTCAAGGCTATGCTCTACCACTTGAGCTATAGTGACACTTCTGGCTTTTTCCTGAGTAGTTTATTGGCAATAAGAATCTCATGGCGGGGGGCTGAGAAGGTAGCTCAGTGGTAGAGCACTTGCCTTACATGCATGAGGCCCTGGGTTCGATTCCTCAGCACCAGACAAGCAGAAAAAAAAAAGCCAGAAGTGGTGCTATGACTCAAGTGGTAGAGCGCTAGCCTTGAGCTGAAGAGCTGAGGGACGACGCCCAGGCCCAGAGTTCAGACCCCACGACTGGACCCAAAAAAAAAAAAAAAAAAAAAAGAATCTCATGGTCTTTTTTGTCCAGGCTGGCTTTGAACTGCAATCCTCAGATCTCAGCCCCTTGATTACAGGCATGGGCCAAAAGTCTAGGATTTCTTTTTATAAGGTAATAACATTCCATATTGCATATTACAGGCATGTGCCACTAGTCCCCATCTAGGATTTCTTTTTATAAGGCTGAATAACATTCCATATTGCATATACATACCACATTTTTATCAATTCATCAATGAATGGACACTTAACCTTGTTTCCATTTCTTGGCTATTGTGAATAGTGTACAAAGAACCTGGTAGTACAGATGTCTCTTCAGCCTACGAATCTAATTTTCTTTAATAAACAGTAGAAGGATTATTTGGTTATATGCTGTTTTAATTTTTTTGAATGTCTTCTAAAATGGCTGTACTAATCTATATTTCTATACAGGCTCCCATTTCTTCACTTCCTAACCAACATTTGTTCTCTTTTGTCTTTTCAATAATTATTTGGTGGGAGTAATGCAGTTTCTCATAATCTGGATTTGCATTTCCCTGGTGACTTGTAATATTAAGTGTTTTTCATATAGCCAGTAGAAGTTATGGCCTCCCTCTCACTACAGTACACATCTGGTGCTAATATGAGTCCACACTGCTGCATGACAAAACTAGGGAATGTCTAGATTATGGATCATCAACTGAAATGCTTCCAGGGGTTGGGAGAGAGGGGGGTGTTGCTACAGCTAACTGGAGAACACACTATCCAATATACCTACTTCTCATCTCACCAATAGTCAGGCAGAAGGCCCATTTTTAAATACTTCTAACTTAAAAATCTATACATATAGTCATAAATCCTGTAAGCCAACGAACACACCTGTAGGCCAGCAGCATCCTATAAGTGCCCACTTGTCTCTCCCACCCCCAGTCCAGGTCAGAGAATGACATATTGCCATGTTCTGTGCTGATCTGTCCACACCAAGGGTGTGGTGCTAAGCCATGGACACTATACATAATGGGACATGCATGGATAAAGCTAGTACACAGGCAGGTAAGCAAGATTGATTTTAAACAGGTCAATTTTACTTAATCACTATTTTTTTTTTGGGGGGGGGGGTCCAGTCGTGGGGCCTGAACTCTGGGCCTGGGCGCTGTCCCTCAGCTCTTCAGCTCAAGGCTAGAGCTCCACCACTTGAGCCACAGCGCCACTTCCGGCTTTTTTCTTTTTGCATATGTGGTGCTGAGGAATCGAACCCAGGGCCTCAGGCATGCAAGGCAAGTGCTCTACCACTGAGCCACCTTAATCACCTTAATCACTATTTGCAACTAGTCTCTCCTACATCAGGTCCAGTGTTACATGGCAGAGGTTGAGGTAACAAGAAAGGCTCAGCTCTGCTCTTGAGGACCTTAATACCTTGAGGGGAAATGAAGGGATCTGAAGATCATTTCCCCAAAAAGCCTCATAGAGAACACATTCTAACAATGATGAGAATATCTGAGCATTTACTCTGTGCCAACACTTCAATGTTTTACCAGTCTGTCATTAGGCCACTTAATCTTTCTCATACCCTGAGGCAGATGCTGTAACAATGCTTGTTTCATGTAAAGAAACAGCTCAGGAAGGCCAAGTAAAACCAGTCACTACCCATGCAGTGATCTGCTATGATCCAGAAGAACAGAATAGACTATTGTAGAAAGTACTAAGGAAGATTAATCTAGTATCTGGCACTGTGAATATGTGCTGAATAACTTGTTTCTTTCCTCATCTCTGCAACAGTTCAAGAATAAGCTGTATAGTCACACACTAGGGCAACTAGAGAGGGAGGCTGATCATCAGATGGGCAAAACAGGAATTCCAAAAATGAGAACAGAACAGCTCTTCCCAGAATAATTATTTCCCATCTTGGCAGTGATACTGAAAGGTAATTATCAACCACTTCCCCTTAGACCCCTAAAATGCAGCATTTGGCACACAGGAATAGGAAACAAAGACCTAGAAAGGATAAGGGCCAAATTATGGGTAGCTAAACGATTAATTAACTAATATTGACTGACCAAAGACATATTGTTCAAGGGTGTACACCAGGAAAAAAAAAAGCATGGGAAAGGGCTTGTACCTGATACCTAGTGTTAGCTCTGTCATTAATTCACCGTGTGACTGTGAGTTTTATCCTAAGCCTCAGTTTCATTTCTGTATGACAAAAGGTTGGGAATATACCTCTAAAATCATTTCAGCTTGCTGGGGGCTCTTGGCTATTCAGAAGGCTGAGATCTTCAGATTGTGGTTCAAAGCTCAGGCATGAGGCTCCATCCAATTAATGATCAAAAAGCCAGAAATGGAAGTGTGGCTCAAGTGGTAGAGCTCTGGCCTCAAGTGCAAAAGCTAAGTGAGAGAACAAGATTTTGAGTTCAAGCCCAGATATCAGCTCTCGCTCTCTCTCAAACGCACGCACGCACGTGCGCGCGCGCGTGCACACACACACACACTTACTACTCCCTGCCCCCCCTACACACCATTTTGTGTTGAATAACTCACATAAATTATTTGTATTCAAAAGTCAGATCTCCAATGTGAAGAGACTTATAAATGTGGCTGGTCAATGAAGTTCACATTAAGTATCAGACTTAGGATGAAGAACTGTAAAATATCTCATTAATATGCTTATATTGCTTTATACAGAAGTACAGTAAATAGGGTTAAACATATTAAAACTTAACATCACTCATTTTTATTTTTCTTTTCTTAATGAGGCTCCTAGGAAATGTGATTTTATAATGTGGGTCCCATTATAATTCTAGTGACCAGCACTGGTTAAGGGGACACTGAAGCCTAGAGAGAGGAAACAACTTTTTTTTTTTTTGTCGGTCATGGGGCTTGAACTCTGGGCCTGGGCACTGTCCCTCAGCTCTTCAGCTCAAGTCAAGCGCTCTACCACTTGAGCTACAGCGCCACTTCCAGTTTTCTAGTGGTTTTTTGGAGATAGGAGTCTCATAGTCTTTCCTGCCAGGGCTGGCTTTGAACCGTGATCCTCAGATCTCAGCCTCATGAGTAGCTAGGATTACAGGCGTGAGCCACTGGTGCCCGGCAGGAAACAACTTTTCTACAGAGCCAAGACTAGAACCAGCATCCCCTCACTTCTCAGTCAACACTCTTCATTCTTAGTAGGCTATTGGAACCAGTCTCCAAGATGACCGCTAAAGATCATCACCTCCTCTTCATGAAATTAGATTCATCCATTAGAGGACTACAGAAAGAATAGTGACTTCTAAGGCTGGATCATAAAAGCCATGGTAACTCCTGACCTGTCCTTCTCTCTCTGGCATAATTTCCTCTGGGAAGCTAGAGAACATTAGAGCAGCTGTCTGGAGGGGTCAATATGGTACTGAGGCCTCCCTCCTGTCAATAACGAAGAACAACCAGACAATTCAGTGAAGCACTTTGGAAGCTGTCCTCCAGCCTCAGTCAAGCCTTCAATTGATAGTTGATATTTTTATTGTAAGCTCAGGCAACACCACAATCTATAAACAGCTAGTGAAGATTATTACAAGCTACACAACCCATACAAACAATAAATGTTTATTGTTGTCAATAAGCTTTGGTTTTATTAAATAGCAAATAATTATACACAACCTTAAACATCTCATCTAAGAAAACCTCAGCGCTTGGCCAGTGTGAGAAATCATTCCTGTTTTTCTTGTAGCTTCTGATCTACCTGGTAATGCTAAGAAAATTTAGGTAAATTACCAAGTTTAGAGATTCTACCTTTGAAGTGGCTTTTCCCTTTATTGCAAAATGCACCCAGGTCTCCTGATAATGAAAAACCATATCATATCACATTCACTGGGTAGTTCAGAGATTTGATTCCCACAAAGTCAAAGGAACTAGAGACCAGAATTGCTCAATTAGACACAACACTGAAAAAGTAAGAGGTTGGAGGCATGGCTCGGATGGTAGAACAATGGCCAGTGAGCAAAAGGGTTAGATACTGAGTTTGAGTCCTGGTCTTGGACAAAAAAGAAAAGCAACTGGAGAATGAAAGTGACATCTGAGTTCCTCTAAGCTGAAAAATGAGTGCTGATAGTCATACCAATGCTTTATATAGCATGTTGCTTTTCATGGTGTTTCCATATCTAATGTCTCTGAGGTAGGTGGATATGATATAAATAAATCAGGGTACACATAAGTCAACAATAGCTCATGGCTCATAATCTTGCTCTTGGTCTTATAGTCAGAGAATGACAAGCAGTTCTTTAATCTGGACTCTGACACCCGGAGTTGGATTGGGTTGCTTTCCAGGACAAGACTACCCTGACGGTATGAATCCCTTTTAGTTGGGGTCCTCTGAGACCAAAGTGCACTTAAAGGTCTCCTTAAAGACCTCGAGGAAAGGCGGCATTACTTCATCCACGGAGACGTGCCGCTGGAGCTCCTTACTCAGGGAAGTGACACCTGTCCCAACCAGTCCACAGGGCACGATGTGTTCAAACCATGTAAGGTCCGTGGAGCAATTCAGCGCCAGGCCGTGGGATGTGATGTGCCTTCCACAGCGGACACCTGAAAAGCAAGGCAAATGATCTTAGAATCCACAGCCTCCCCCTCCTAGGCCCGATCGCTGGATTTCACATTTTGTTTCTGGCACGTGTACTGTACATAGACTGAGGGTTTCCAGCCAAATGAGACGGGAGGGGGTAGTAATGTTCCACATGCGCTGCCCTCATAACAGGGAATTGCTTTAAACACTGAGAATCTGATGCTTTAAAACTTTAAAAATTGACACACAGAAAGCAACATAGCAATTCACTTGTAGTCCTTCCATCTGTCATAATGAGTATTGAATCAGAAGACTTCTGGGGACCCCTGTGTTTCCGAATATAAAATTGCTGCGATGAATCTACAAAACAATAACGCGGGGCGCCAGTGCAATTCAAAACTGACTCCAAAAACACCTTCTCCCGCTAGAGCTCTCCCTTCACCCCTCAGGCCTGGCCCCGCCCACCCAGGCCTGGCCCCGCCCACCCAGGCCTGGCCCCGCCCACCCAGGCCTGGCCCCGCCCACCCAGGCCTGGCCCCGCCCACCCAGGCCTGGCCCCGCCCACCCAGGCCTGGCTCCGCCCCATGGTGCTCACCGATCGCGCAGATTTTGCGCTCACCCAGCCAGACCCCAGTGTAGGGCGGGGGCCGCGCGCGGGCGTCCCGCAGGCCCCGGAGCTCGCAGAGGCGCACCGCACACTTCTCCAGCGCCGCCACGTGGGTGCGCAGGCGTAGACCGAGGCGCCGCAGGTCGAGCACCGGGTGGCAGAGCAGCTGGCCCGGGCCGTGGAAGGTGGCCAGGCCGCCGCGGCCTGTGGTGCGCACCTCGGCGCCCAGAGCCCTCAGCTGCGCCGTTTCCTCGGGAGTCAGGCCGCCGCGTAGCCCGGATGTATACACGGGCCCCGCTGGCTCGCAGAGCAGGAGGGCGCCCGCCTCGAGACTCGACCCGGCATCGGGGCCGGGCTCGGCCTGCAGCCTCCGCAGCCAGGACTCCTGCAGCGCCAGCAGCTCGGCGTACCGCGCCCGGCCCAGCCACACCACCCTGACGGCGGGCGGCGGCATCGCGCGTGCTGCGCGGTCTGCAGGCTCCGCCCTCCGCGCGGGGCAGGGACTGAGGCCACGCCCTGAGCCTGAGTTCAGGAATCTCCGTCCCAGCAGGATGGGCCTGACCCAGTGACCTCTTGTGTAGCACGTGGTGTGTTTGTGGCCTCAGCGTTAAGCTCGTGATGCAGCAGAGTAAGACCAGAAACAAAAATCTGACCTTGTTAAGTTTACATGCTCATAGCAGGCAGTAAGCAAGCACTGAAATACTAAATAGCTGGGCACGGTGGCATCTCCTGCAGTCTTTGCTACCCAGAGAGCAGAGATCTGAAGAATTTCCGTTTATGGCTAGCCAGTTCTCCGGACCTCATTTCAACGGATAGAATGGTGATGTGTGGTGGTATGGTGCCAGGAATCTGCCATCCCAGCTACGGTAGGAAGCTTGACATCGGTGGATCTTTGCCCAGGTGGGCCTGGGCATAAATTAGAAACCCTAGCCCCAAAATCAATAAAGCCACAAGGGCTAGTGTCATGGCCCAGGTGATAGAACACTTGCCTAGCAGGCTCTGAGTTAAAACCTCAGTATTATCAAAAAAGTATTAAAGCAATTTCTCAGTGATAAGTGCTAGAAAAAGTAAAGTAAAACATAGCAATATATGTGGGGTTGAGTTTTTTGAAGACTGGAAGGGAGATTAGTGTGCAAGAAATTTATTGTAGGGTAGGATGGGGCAGACCAGCACCTATAAGAGAGTAATCGAAGCAGGATTAGGAAAGGGAGAAGTTGAACAGGGGGGGAAAAAACCAACATCAGAGACCTTAGCCAGTCCCAAGGAATTCTCTGAGCCTGGTGTGACCCATTAGTTATTCCAAATTAAAGCAAGGGGACAAAAATTTATATATTGTGTCGACCAGTTGTAGACAATCTATGAAGGCACTTGTATAAGTTTTAGTGAAGCCCTGTCCCTGAGAGGAACTCAGTTGTGAGTTAACAGCTATCCATTCCCAAAAGCTAGGGGGATGACTAGATCCTGAGAGGGGATGTCTACCACAACATATTCTGTTTGTTGTATGGAACTCTGAAGCTGAGCGGTGAAACCTGGGAAGGGTTTGAGAGATTGGAATGCTGCCTTCACAGCACTCAGAATGCTGAGAGCTGGCCATGGAAGGGTTAAAGCATATAGCTCTGGAGAGGGTGAAGAGACCCGGTTTCTACACACACACACACACACACACACACACACACACACACACACACACACACACACACACACACACACACACGAGAGGGTGAAGAGACCCGGTTTCTACACACACACACACACACACACACACACACACACACACACACACACACACACACACACACCCTTTCTTTTGTGTGGCAGCTGTGTTGGGGACCTTTACAAAAGACCTTTACAGCTTAACTTTGGACTAGATAAGCAGACATAATTTCTGGACTTTCCCAGGGCAGCAGTCTCCTGTCTCAATAAGGGAACCAGTGTCTCTCACAAACTCTGTTTTAGCTCTGATTGCAATATTAAAATGGATGCTTTATGTTTTGCATGTATCCATGGTAACCTTCCCTGTGTGAACTCAAATAAATATGCTTGCTTGTGGGGATTCAGCACCCAAGTGCAGGAAAGCCTTGGGACCTCTGGTCTTCCCCTTTTTCTATCTGCCACATCTCTGTATTTTTCTATTTTTCTTCAGCCCAGTATCCCATCACGATATCTCAGGTTGCAGTTAACAACAGTTTGTGGTGTCAGTGTTGTTTCCGAAGATATTTTTAAAGGTGGGGTAAGGGGGGGTTGTTCTTATACATTTTTCTAGGCCCTTGGAAAGCTTATCACCACCAGGTGCTGTGCCTAATGGATATAAGATTTCTTGGATGAAAAGGACACTGTTGGAGAGAGGGAACGAGGATAAATGCAATTTTCCTCTCCTACTTTCTCTTTTAGACTGGGAGGTAGTCACTGTGGCTAGAGTGATTCAGTTTGTAATTTGTGGGGCTAAGAGTGTAATCCCTCCAGCACAAGTATTAACTAATCCTCATATAGTTAGGGAACAGTCCCAGAGTGGGGTGAGACAGGAAGTAGGGAAGAGTGGGAATGAAAGAATAATCAAACCCAGGCTCAGGGCCAAGAAATTAGAAAAGGACATAAAGTGGTGTGGGAAAACATGTACAATGGCAGGTTTGAGAGCAGATCAGAAAAGTCATTGTTAGTCATCAATGGCAGTGCTTTAGTTAAAAAAAAAATAAACACATTATTTAAATAGCCCTAGGCTCTGAGGGGAAAGTAAAAGAGATAGAATTATGCAAGGCCCTATCCAGAGCACCTAGAGTTTATAAATAGGTGTGTGTAAGGTGTGGGAAATAACTCAAGTAATTTGTTTCTTAGAAGATGAACTCAAGTTTAAGCAGGAATACCAGAGATCTGGGTTCATGTGCTGTGTCTTCACTATTTATCTGAGAATGTGAGCTACTTCAGAATGAGAAATGCGTAGTTTTATTCCAGCATTTCACCTAGCCTTGAGCCTGACACCCAGAAAGTTCTTAGTAAATGCTTGCAGAATGAATGAATGAATGAATTGTTAAATAATTTCTTGTGTATCTAGAACCAGGGGTTTCAATGATTAAAAAAAAAACAGCATATAAACTTGGAGTCAGAGTGACTAGAAGAGGTTCTTAGTAATGCTAAATTTGCAGGATGTGAAAACCGTTATTTGGCTCTTATCACCCTAAAAAGTCTTCATACTATAGAAGGCTGAATTAAGTCTAAAGGTCATGAGACTATGTCTTCACTATGTCTCCTCACCCCTTCCTGCAACACATTGTCTGTGCCAATGCAGTATTCTGTCTTGGTTATTTTGAGCAGTAGTCATCATCTGACTTCTCCCCTCAGTCCTATAGTCTGAGAACACAGAGTAATCCACTGATGCAGTATTCAACATGTGTTGGGCACTCTAAAAGCTTTAAAACAACCACTGTATTTACTACTTTCATAGCCATGAAGAAGGTACCGTACTACTTGGGCCCTGTACTTTAGAAGCCTGTCTGTCAACACCCACACCTCCTTCCCTTACACATAAATTTTAATAAGTCATTAGTTTTTGCTTCAACAACCTGAACACTGGCAGTGCATGACCCGTAGCTTCTCCTGCCTTACCTTCACTCAGGCCCCGGGCTCACACTTCTCCCATGTCTTGCTTTGTTGTCCTTAAAACACAATAAATAAATACAGGTAAATCCCCAGGTAGTACCTCATTTGAACAGCTGGGACAAATGTATTTAACCTGTTCAATTACCACCCTCTCATTCATGGGTACAGACTATTTCCATACCCTGTGGGTTGATTTTCTGCTGTCCACCTAAAGTGTGGTAAGTGTGCAGTGGCAACAGATCTTGGATAAGAAGAGTGACACATGAATTAATGGGCACCAGGAAATCTTTTCTCTCAGATAGCATGAATACATAATAGGATGCTGTCTCCCAGAAGAGCAGAGAATCAGCCAGGCACCTGTGGCTCATGCCTATAATCCTAGCTACTCAGGAAATTGAGATCTAAGGATTTTGATTCGAAGTCAGTCCAGGCAGAAAAGTCTGTAAGACTTATCTCCAATTAAACACTACAAAAGCTGGAAGTAGAGCTATGGTTCAAGTATAGAGCTCTAGCTTTGAGTAAAAAAAGCTCCAGGACAGTTCCGAGGCCTTGCATTCAAGCCCCAGGACTAGCACAAAAAGAAAAGAAAGAAGCCGGGAACTGGTGGCTCACACCTGTAACCCTCCCTACTCAAGAGGCTGAGATCTGAGGATCATGGTTTAAAGCCAGCCCGGGCAGGAAAATCTATGAGACCCTTATCTCCAATAAACCCACCAGAAAACCAGAAGTGATGCTGTGGCTCAAGGGGTTGAGTGCTTGCCTTGAGCTGAAGAGGTCAGAGACAGTGCCCAGGCCCAGAGTTCAAGCCCCACAACTGACAAGACAAAACAAACAAAAAAAAAAAAAAAAGAAAGAAAAGAAAAAAGAAAGAAGAACAAAAAATCTGTTTTCTTCCTTCTTTTTGTGTTTCAATTTATGATCTAGAAACAGCCTAAAAATTGCCCAATATTTACATCAATTGCAAAGGTAACAAATAAATATTTTGCAATATTAAACAACATAATATCATATGACTCTTTTTTTTTTTTTTTTTTGGATAGGTCGTAGGGCTTGAACTCTTGGGACTGGGCACTGTCCCAGAGCTCTTCAGCTCAAGGTGAGCACTCTACCACTTGAGCTACAGCATCACTTTCCATTTTCTGGTGGTTAATTGGAGATAAGAGTCTCAAAGACTTTTCTGCCAGGGCTGGCTTTGAACCATAATCTTCCGATCTCAGCCTCCTGAGTAGCTAAGGATTACAGGCATGAGCACACGGCGACTCATTTGTTTATATGGAGATCTAAGTATAGCATGTCTGAAACATGGTATTGATTTTTTTGTTTTGGTGGCACTGGTTGAACCCACTTGCTTCACACTTAAGCCAGAACCCTGACCCTTAGTGCTTTAGGTTTTTTGTTTTGTTTTGATAGGGTCTCATTTTTGCCTAGGCTGGCTTTGGCCTTCTATCTCCCACCTTCAACTCTCAAGTAGCTTGGATTACAGTTTTTTTTTTTTTTAAACCAGGGCTGAGAACCGAACCCACGGCCTTGCACGCGCCAGGCGGGCGCCCTTCCGCTGGGCTAAACCCCCAGCCCCTGGATTACAGTTTTTAGCACTGCACTTGGCTCTTTTTCTTTTTGGGGGGTAAGGGGAGGGAAGGGAGGATAGGGATGTACTCAGGACCATTTTTTTTGTATTAGCTTAGCCGTAACTTTAAGGAATAATAAAAAAATCACAATACAAGTGATAACTTACATGACGAAATAAAAATGTAATTGGTTAAATGTTTATAATTTTTATAAATTTATTTTTATGTATAAATACAGTTATTATGTATTTTGTAATTTGTTATATGTCCCTAAAATAACATTGGACTCTAG